CCCCTCCGAGCCTCCCGCCCCCCCCCCCCCCATCTCACCGTCCTTGCCCCGGATGACGTGAGCGATTGTGACCCCCCCGATCTCCGAGTCGCTGAAGCGGAGCAGGAAGGTCCCGTCAGGCTCCGTGCTCAGGAGCTTGCAGACGTACTGCTTGCTGATGAAGCCGATGATGAGCCTAGAGGGATGGAGCGATGGCAGAGTGGGCCAGTGCCAGGGCGGGGGGCTGGTCCCAAGACACCCTGGAGCAGCCGTGAAAACCCACTTGGCCGCCGGGCACCCACCTGTCTGACCAGTAACTTTTGAGGCACCTCTTGGTGAGGTCAAGGACTCCATCAAACCACTGCCAGAAGGTGAACCCTCGGCCGGGCAGGATCTCCTGGGGCAGAGAGAGAGAGCGTGAGGCTCCCCCAGGGCCACACCGGCCCCTGCCCGCCCCCACCAGCCCTCCCAGTAACCTTGTTGAACTGGGCCCAGGAGACGTTGCGGTTCTGGAAGTCCTCGAGGCTGGCACTGTGGTCATTGAAGATCTTCTGGGCCAGGAAGAAGTAATGCTCCTTGAGAAGCCCCTTGGTGGTCTGCACCTCCGCCTTGAACTTCAGGTTCAGCGTGTCACACATCTTCTCCCAGGGCACCCGCTCGGCCACCACGAAGGGCACCCGGTCCTGTGGCAGGGCAGGAGGGCATCAGAGAGTCATAGAATTGCCCAGGCCAGAAGGAACCCCCAAAGGTCATCTAGTCCGACCCCCCCGCAGTCAGCAGGGACCCCCCCAACTAGACCAGGTTGCTCAAATAGCCATCCAGCCTGGCCTTGAACACCTCCAGTGATGGGGCATCCACGACCTCCCTGGGCAACCTGTCCCAGTGCTCCACCACCCTCCCAGTGAAGAACCCTCTCCTCATCTCCAGTCTCAATCTCTTCCCCTCCAGCTTGAATCATAGACTCACAGAATGGTTTGGGTTGGAAGGGACCTTAAAGATCATCTAGTTCCAACCCCCCTGCCATGGGCAGGGACACCTCCCACTCGACCAGGTTGCTCAAATAGCCATCCAGCCTGGCCTTGAACACCTCCAGTGATGGGGCATCCACGACCTCCCTGGGCAACCTGTCCCAGTGCTCCACCACCCTCCCAGTGAAGAACCCTCTCCTCATCTCCAGTCTCAATCTCTTCCCCTCCAGCTTGAAGCCATTGCCCCTCGTCCTGTCCCTGCAGCCCTTTCTAAACAGGCTCTCCCCAGCCTTCCTGTAGGCTCCCTTCAGGTACTGCATCACCTGCTGCTCCATCCCACCCACGTGCTGGGGTTCCTGCCCAGCCTGATGTCTGTCTGTCCCTGTCCCAGAGCTGGACCCAGCCCTGGCAGCTCCTTCCCCTGCCCCAGGGTCCTTCCCTCCAGCTCCTGGCACTCACGATCTCAGAGAAGGCGTTATCCCACAGCACGGTGGCTTTGGCATTATTGTCCTGGTTCCCGTGGACGATGACCACGATGGGCAGAGACAGGACCTGGGGACAAAACGTGGCCCTCCCTCAGCCCTGAGGCCACCTGGGCTGGTTGTCCTGGGACTGTCCCAGCCCGACGTGGGGCTCAGCACCGGGAGAGGACCTGGGTGTCCCTTGGTGGGGGGGGGGGATGCTCAGCGCTGCCCAGCCCGGTCCCCTGGTACCTGGAGGTGGATGGAGAGGTTGCCGGGGGTCAGGGTCACGGTGGTGCTGAAGAGGACGGCACATTTCTCCTCCGTTACCGACTCGGAGCCCTTCCGCTCACAGCGCTTGATCTTCTTCAGCAGCTGAGGAGGGGAGAGCCAAGCATCACCCCTGGGCAAGCACCAGCCTTGGGTTCCCCCATCCCCACCACCCCCGAGGCCTCCCAGCCTTGGGTTCCCCCATCCCAGCCCTCCCCCGAGGCCTCCCAGCACCACAGCAAAGCCCCCATCCCATCCCTCACCCCCGTCCGGCCCCTCTCCGGGGGCACTCACCACGTTCTTGAAGTTGGCACAGCAGGTCCCGTTGGTGGGGTTGGTCTCCAGGGCCACCACGTTATGCATGATCTCCCCCGTGCTCTCGCTGGGCAGAGTTGGGGGGGTCAGGGCCGGCGCGGTGGCCCAGCAGCCTCCTTGCCCCCGGTGCCACCCGGTCGCCGCTCACCTGAGGGTGTTGCTGTAGGCGCTGAGCGCCAGCTCCCGTGCCTGCTTCTCTGTCACCATGTCAGCCCTCACCATGTAGGGCTTGGCCGATGCCTTCAGCAGTTGGGGGCCCAGCAGGAACCGGACGCTCGCCTGGAACTTGGTTTGGGTCTTCAGCACCTGCGGGGGCTGCTTCTCCACCAGGAAGGAGCTGGGGGACGAGGGGAGACCGTGGTGCCTGGCACAGCACTGCCACAACCCTCTGCCACCACGGCATCCCCCCACCCTGGCCGTTACCTCTTGACCAGACTGGACAACACCTCGTTGAACCGCTCCAGGAGCCGGGGCAGCAGCTCAGCCCCCAGTTCCGCACTGGCCGCCATCACCTGCTGGTGCAGCTGGAAGTAAACCTCCACCAGGCTCTCGCACCTACCGAGGGAACCACGGGAAAAGGGGCACCCTCAGCCAAAGCAGAGTGGGACCATCGCTCTCCCCAGAGCCTGTGGGGCCACAGGATCCCTGCTCCCGGGAGTCCCTTGCTCTGGGACCCCCCGTCTCTGCCCCGGGACACCTCACCTCTTCTGCAACGGGGCCAGGTTCTCCTCAAAGAGAGCCCCGTTCCCCGCCAGCTGCTGCTGCCTCTTCCAGATTTGGATCCTCTTCAGAACCTGCTGCTTGGCCAACTCCAGCTCTTTCACGGCCTCCAGGATGAGGGTGGGCAGCTCCTGGGGGGGCGGCAGTACCGGCCATGGGGCTCTGCATCACCCTGTTCCCCGCCAAGCAGTGACCTGCAGCCCTGCCCCATCCCCCCCCAAGGGCACCAAACCCCTCGGCCCTGCGCTGCCTCCCTGCCCCAGTGCTGGATCTCCCCCCTTTTCCTGGGGTGGTCCCCAGGGTCCCCCAGGGTCCCCCAGGGGTTCCTTCCCTGGTCCTGGGGTGCCCTGGACCCCCCACTCACGCTCTCCAGGGGCTTCACTTCGGCCTTCAGCTGTGGGTCCCGCAGGTTCAGCTGCAGAGACGCTGCGGAGGAAGGATGGGGGTGGCCCCGTTAGAACCAGGAGCCGGTGTCTGCACTGCCCAACACCCCTGGGAGGGGGGTCACACCCCACAGCAGACCCACACCAAGCTGGGCCCTGTCTCCCCCCCCAACCCCGCACCTGCGGAGCCGTCCCGCAGCGCCTGGATCTCACGGACGCGGTGCTGCAGCCGCTGCAGCCCCAGGCTGAACTTGAGCTCCTCCTGACGCCGGTGGAAGCTGAGGGGCAAGTGGCGGTCCTGGGGCAGAGCAGAGTTGGGGGGTGAGCAGGGCCTAGAGCCGGCCCCACACCTCGGGGAGCCCTGGCAGGGGGGCAGGGACCACCTACCCTCTTCAGCACGGCGGCCTTCTCGCCCTCCAGGATGGCTTTCAGGACGGCCACCAGCCGCAGCGGGTCCCGCCGGTAGGGGTTCTGGGGGGGGGGGCAAGCACAGGGCATCAGTGGGGCAGGGCATGCACACACTGCCCCCCCTGCACCCCCCCCCACCCCCGATGTGTTTCCCCTTCCCACAACCAACGGTGCTAAGTCAGACTCTGGGGTTTCGTGACCCGCAGCGGGGGACAGACAACGACCCGCTGCTGTTCTGAAGGAGCTAATTTCCAGCTTTAAACCCACTTTATAATTCTGCATAAAAAAATAGATATCAACTTCAATTAAAAAAAAAAAAAACAAAAACGAAAACCAAACATCAAACTGAAAAGAGCCAGACTCTTTTCAGTGGTTCCCACTGAGAGGACGAGGGGCAACGGGCACAAGTTGGACCAGAAGAGGTTCCACTCAAATCTGAGGAGAAACTTCTTCACGGTGAGGGTGGCAGAGCCCTGGAAGAGGCTGCCCAGGGAGGGTGTGGAGTCCCCTTCCTTGGAGATTTTCAAGACCCGCCTGGATGCTCCTGAATAACATGTTCTAGCTCTGGGCAATCCTGCTTCAGCAGGGGAGTTGGACTAGATGATCTCTATGGTCCCTTCCAACTCTAAAAAAATTCAGTGAAATTCAGTGAAACTAAAGTAAATTCTCTATTTCTGCAAGCATCTCCCTGAGACACCTGGGGAAGACTCTCCAGCTGCCTTGGCCCGGGTGGATCAGCGCTTCCCACCAAAACCAGGTCACGGAATTTCCCTGCTGGCTCCGGCTCCCCGCGCCCCACGCCAGCTCCTCCGGCCTTCGCGCGTTTCCCAAATTAGCTACTTCCCAAAACAGCAGCCGAGAGCAGCAGCGACGTGCCGGTGGCTTCCCGTCGGGAGAAAACTCCGTGACCGACCCCCCCAACACCCACCCCACGGCCTGGGCCGGCACCGGGGCTCTGCCAGGGCAAACCCCGGGGTTCAGGGGACAAAAAAGCCCAGGTTTCGTCTCCCACCAGCCAGTTTTCCACCCTTTTCCTCAGTCTTTTCCCTCCCCGCTGAGAGTTCCCTGCTGGGAGCTCGGGAGAAATGAGGGATGGTCATAAGGGAATGAGGGACGGTGGGAAATGGCTCTTCTGGAGCACTTTAAATAAAAACACCTAAGCTGAAACATCTGCGCATCTTCCTCCAACAATTTCAAAAAGCAAGTGACAGTCTTGTTTCGGAAAGTTCCCCCGTTTCCTCAGAAGTTATGACTAAAGCTGACCCCCTTCCCAAACGTTGTGTATCAAAAATGTCTGTTACCAAAAAAGCAAGGCTTTTCAACCAGAACGGGGCTCTGGGAGCGAGCACCACTCAGCCCTTAACGCTGGCAGGAGAGAGAGCAGAGGGGTGAAATCTGCAATCACAGAGGGAAGAGAGACAGAGAGAGATTCAAACGGACCTCGAGACAGAGAAACAGCCCAGAAAAAAACAGAAAGGCAGGAGGAGGAAACGCGGCACAACACAAGGCCCAGAGGAAGAAGAAATCAAATGCTCGAGCAGAAAATGGGGAACATCTGGCCAGGCCGGGCGCTGGCGGCGGGGGGTGAGCGGAGCCATGGCCATGGGGGGGCCCAACGCTGTCGGGAGGCTCCCCGTGGGGTCAGGGTCTGGCACGGGAGGACGTGGCCATGGGGTCAGCTCCCTGGGGGCCACTGGGCACCAAAGAACCACCGTAGGGAGAGGGGAAGGTGGGAAGCCAGGCCGGGGGGGGGAGCTGAGGGGACCCGTGATTGCAGCTCTGACAGCCCAAGTGCTGCAGCGAGCTGGGGATCAGCCCCTGGACGCAAACGAACCTCCTCCATCCCCCTGAAGTGCCACAAAAACCCCAGTCACTGGGTCTGCACAAGCTCGTTGCTCACAGGCCCTGAAAGGGGTGTCGAGGGGGGACCGGCCCGAGGCATCGGCCCCTTCGAGCGGTGCTCGAACCAGTGGATCTGAAGCATAAATTACTCAAATCTTCCTTGGTGGCCCACCGTGATCCC